TGGCTGATGGGTCATAGTTCAAGTCTGGGTAGGGGAAAGACTTTTATCCTCTCCACATCCTCGAGACTAGTTTTGAGGCCCATCCAGTCTCCTATCCAATGGGTACCAGGAGCTCTTTCTCCACAGGTAAAGCAGCCAGGGAGCAAAGCTGACCACTCATCTAAAACTGGAGCCAAGACCAAGAATATGTGGATCTATACATCCACTCCCCCCACACATATTCATGGTGTAATGCATAATTAGTTAAGCACAAGGACAACTAGTTGTTACTTTTGTTACAAAAAATATGAAACATACTAAACTGTAAAAAAAACACAACCTTCTTAAAGTGTATAAATTTCCAGGTTAACCAAATACAACTTATCTCTTAATTCAACATCATCATCCAAGCTTACATCTCACTAGAACATAAAGGTCCTTACTGATCAATCCGCAAAGGAAAGATTATTCAGAGCATTCTCTTCGGAGATGTACTCGTAATGCCATGAGTTCTGGTAGAAGTTCACCATCATTTTGGAGGAACATATTGGCTCCCTCTTCAGTGTCAAAGAGTAAATGAAGCAAGAAAACAGCAAACACAAGGCCACAAGTATGCACACCAGACATTTTTTCCACCCTTAAATTCTGGAAACAAACAAAACTGAATAAATAAATGAATAATAAAAGGAAGAATTATATCAAATATAAATGCTAAAATGAAATGGATTTTGAAATACTTCCCTTACATTCAGGAGCTGGGATAGCTCAGTCAGTATAGTGAGGGTTGGATGGCCTGTGTTCCATTCCCAGCACACTTCTCCACAGCGTCTAGACCAAATCTAAGGCTCACCCACACTCCTATCAAATGGGTACTGGGTGCTTTTTCACCTGGAGTAAAGTGGCAAGAGTGTGAAGCTGACCACTCACCTCATCTAGTGCCAAGGTCAGGAATGGTGGAGCCATTCCTCCACTCCCCCATTGTCTTCATGACACAGTGCTTAACTAATTAAGCACAGGGCCATCTTTACATTTGCCCTTCTATTCAGAGTACTTCAGGGTGATCTGTGAAAATTGCAGTCTCAGGTCAATTTTGTGGTTACCCCCACCCCCAAGAAAACTGGTAGTTGCCTTTTGGAGTAAGTTTTGGCAATGCCCATGATGAAGATTACTACATATTGCCACATGATGCCGTTTATTCTTGTACAAATTCATTGAAGTTCTGCTGGCTGTTTCCTGCTTGTCTCTTGCTGGTTGCTTTATTTACTGTTTTACTGTGAAGATGGAGCAGTATGTCCCCGTAACGTTGGTGGACTTCCACTGGACAGCACACAATCACATCCCAGAACATAGCACTCTTCTCTGTAGTGTAATTTCCACTCTGTCATATGAAGGTTTTGTTAATTTTAAATTATTTTGCTGTCGGTTTTATTTCTGGATGTCAATAATCACAAAAATAACAAGAAATTTTTGGAATAACTAATCACCTACTTTTCTTTCACTACAGCGTCAGTATTTTGCATGACAAGTAGAAAAAACATATGCAATGAAGTCAGTAAAACAAATATTTGATAGGCTTCAGTGTTGGATTTATGAAGTATGCCTGGCCTCAGGTGTTATGATATACATATGAAGTTTCATAGAGATCATTTCAGACATTCAAAATTTGCTGTGGAACACATGCACCCACATACCCACTTGTATGCACACATGCACACAAGTGATCAGCTTGGTGTCTCAGAAGCCTAGCTTTATTTTTCCTAACTAATGAAAGTAAGCTAAAAACAGTTGACATTTAATGTAATTACATCCTATTAGTTATTGTTATATGTACTTTGGTCAATGTTAGGCCATTGGTTTGTTGTTTTGTAGTGCTACACTTTTGGCAATTAAGTTACTTGTGTTCTTTTTTAACTTTAACCAGGTGGTGTATTTTGTAACTTATTTTCTATTCAGGTCTGTCATCTGGTTATCCAGGGTATTTCAGTTGGACTGAGTGACTTCAAGTTTTTCCCACTCTTGCCTTGCTAGAGGTCTCCACAGTCATGCAACTAATGTGGCATCTAGGAGCATGGTAGGGAGCTATGTGGGTGACCAAATTATGCCTTCATTCATCACTTATCCCAAATGAATTGAATTGAATTTATTTACATTCTATAAATCCTAAGCAGGTTAGTACCTTTGGATACAGAACAAGTCAAAAGGTTACATACATAAGTACAGGCAATTTTAGCTTAAAAATTAATATAACTTAATTTTACATCATTCTCTATTTACATTGAAGTATTCATCTAAAGAGTGGAAGGAATTAGCATGTAGATAATTCTTTAACTCTGATTTAAACTTTTTAGTTTAAAGCTTCCTTTACATTTTGTAAATGGATGACATGGACCCCCCAGCTTTACTTCCTTTCCAAAGTTTTTATCACCCTTAATGATCCACCAACCTTGTGTCCACAGGCAAGAAATTTACCACTACAACACCAAGCCAGACACCTTGAATAATGTTATGAGATATAATGTATAATGTCAAGCAATATTCAAACTGTCTTTTAATGTACAAAAGGAATAAATACAATGGGAAGCTGGTGCATCATTAGAAGATATATTGGCATCTATAATGAAGCAAGCCATCCCTCACCATCACAGGGGTTATGTTTTCCCAAATACCATCACAGTCTTCAAAATCACAATTGACAGCAAGGCTTGTGATAAACTGAGGATTAGAGGAACTATGGACTCTCTTAATATTGATCAAAGGTCAAATGGTCTGTTCCTCCACTGGATACACACATCACATTAAAACTAACAGGCTGTGGGATTGTCAAGGTTCCAATAGACAACCACTTTGGAAAGTTTGCAGGCCCTGAAAAAGGCCGTTTGTTCCACCATGGTAGATAGTTTTACGGCTGTTCGGGTGGTCTGTCTGGCCGGGGATGTAGGGCCGCATGCACCGGTAGAAATAGATGTTGGCTACGGTGTGTTGGCTAATGTTGCGGCAGCTGAGTCAGTTGTCTGGTCACAGTGTGGCAGTTGCCGGAAGTTGACTGGTTGCAGAGTGTGGTTGCTGGAAGACATCTGGTCGCGGAGTGCAGTCACTGGAGTGGCGGCAGCTACGCCAGTTGCCTGGTGTGTTGGGCATGACCGCCGGAGAGCTGAGACAGCCGTCCCTGACACAGTGAAGAGCCGATGACTTCGAAGACCGATCGCTCTGGACTAAGAGAAATGGCTGACTGGCTGATGTGGTCACTGATTATTGCTGTCAAAGTCAAAGTCAAAGTCATGTTGAAACTGATGGTCAGTCAGTCTGTCTGTCTTGGTGTCGAGCCCTTGCGGGGGCTCACGACCAGATATTTCTTTTGAATGAAAATTACTGTCTTGTCTATGTGGGACGCCCTCTCTGATGAGAGGTCGGGCACAACTCATGTCGTATAACTCCAGCAATATAATACCAGAGACCAGGCTATGCTGAAGGGAGGTAACAGGAAAATATGCAATAAAAATTGTGATAAAGTGTGCACAGACCTGAAACTAAGAGAGAAAGAAAGGCAAATTCTTTTTGCAACAAACCTAGTCCATGGAAACCCATACACACGATTAAATGCAGAATTTGTGAAACTTTTTTTTTATTTTGAAAAAAAATGCATGTATATACAAAAATGGCCTAGGCGATGACCATTCAACAATTTCTTAAACCATTTTGTGTCTACTGCCAGTGCCATCTGTGGAGTAAGAAACTATACACTCAAGACTAAAACCTTAAAGAACCCATTAAAATCTGTCATACTGTACTGATCATCTCTGTGAGTTAGCAACCTCATTGCTGACAAGGGGGATCCAGATGGCAGAAACTGACTGGATTAGTTAAGCATGCCATATGGGCTGATTCTTTTATTTCCCATATCTGCTGTTATTCTCAGTTTCCAAAATCCCCTGTCCTGCAGTTAAAGGGACGAATGGTTCCTACTGCTCTGAAAAAAATATAGTAGAACAGCAGTGTCCAAGACAATATTAATGCTTACCATAATCTACTTTAGCTTTGCTGAACTGACATCCCTGCCTGAATCATATTGCAAAGGAATAACACCCAGTACCTCTGGCCCTTCTGCCTATGAGCCCCTACCCTTGCCCAAGGTATCAGTCTAGGAAGTCAATCTACTCCTTTTGACCTATTCGAACCTCTATCTGAAACCTCTGTCTACAAGCACCACCCAGCACAGATAACTTCTCTGACTGCAATGGAATGGGAGAATGGTGATGACCTGACATGACCTGGTAACCTGTACATCTTGCCTGTCCTCCGGGCAAAAGTCATGGTTAGTTCTAGCGATGTTTTTGTGTTTCCTTCCTTAGCTATCTCCTTATGGATTCCAAAATGCTTAATTTGTATGAATTATATCTTTGTTTCTCATCTATGTCATTCAATTATGTTAATCTTCTTACCATTTGCTAAAATAGTAACCAACCTCCTCAGCAAGTGATCACATAAAGTCTGTGGCTCAACTGTCTTATATCAAGAAGTTTTATTTCTTGTAAATGGGCCAACTAGACCCACTGAGAAGTCCACCGCTAGCATTTACTGCCCTATGGCCAGCTCACAGTCACCCAGCTGCCAATACAAGGAAGACCAGCCAGCTTGCACTCTCCCAGCTGCAGATGAGCCAGCCTGCTGCAGCCAGAGTTTGACCAGCATTCATTGGGTGCCCTGTCTTAGAGTCACAGCCCTTTTCAGGTTACAATTCCTCACTGGTTATGGCACACTCTGCTTGCCTGCTTGTCTGTTTACTCTCCTTCTTTTTCTTTCCTTGGCACTACAGCCCCAGTGGGCCTAGGCCTACTTCCATGAATTTCTCCGTTCACTTCGGTTTTTCTAGATCTTACACATGCAGTAGGACTCCTTGGGCAGGTGATCAGCTTGTCGCAAGGCCTCTACCTGTACACAAACACAGAAAAACGCACACACACAAACTAAACATTCATGCCCTGAGTGGGATTCGAACCCACGATCCCGGTTTCCAAGCGAGCTAAGACAGTATATCCTTAGATCGCTCGGCTACCGTGACCAGCTCACTCTCCTTCTACCAACATTAAATACCTGTTACAGAAATTTACATGGTCGTCTCTCCATTCTACCGGACCCGACATCCCAGAAGTCAAATGAAAAGCTATGACACTCCATCCATAATGACGACAAATATCCTATGTGATACTTCCCTTCAAAAAAGATATACTCATAGATTGTGCCATCATTTATTTATTTGTAGTTTATTCAACAACACTCTCAGTAACTCAGATAACACAGCACTGACTGCCTAAATAATGGTGAATAATGAACTGGAGAGGCCATAAAAAGAGGTAGTCAAGGTCTAGTTTGTGGTATTATCCTGGCATATGCAGTGAGGGACTGAGAATAAACATAAACAACCTCAATCGGGATAGCTGATGTCCCAGTCAACAGCTGAATCAGGCACCTCCTTAATACAAATCAGAAGAGTTATCACTTGAATGAATTTGCTAGGTATGGGATGCCTCTGTACATGCTACTCACTTAGGTCAAATTTAATTATGTCCACTGCTTTTAACAACAATATCTTTAACAGAGCCAGTCCATCAAAATCAACAAAGAGTAACAAAGCCTTAGAAAACCAACATTTAGAAACTATTACTGAAACTTATACTGATTTGTGCTATGGAAGAGTATGCAAATTAATCACATTTATCTGATTTTGAATTCTCAAATAACATATCCCGTAATAAACTTGTGACATGAGACACATCTTCACCTCAGGGACTCCATTCAGCAAGCAGGCAGTGGGCTGAAGTATTCCTTACTGTCTGCAGATAGCAAAGTTGCTGCATCACTGGGTGTAGCAACATCTTCACTTGTGTCACTCTACTCCTAGCAATGAAGAGTAATGTCCATAAGAACGTTTTTAATTCAGTTATTTGACATTTAGAATTCACATTTAAGCTTTTAAGGCATCGTATGTGCTTCCCATACTTATTAGTGTTGTGAAAATCAGCCACCAATATATATGGATAATGATGATGACTACTTAAAAGGCAAAATGTTTGCCAACCAACAAAACTTAGTGATTAAGAAACATGGAAAGTTGTTAAATTAAAATTTACCGTTATTTATTTTGTTGGCCATTGACTATAGAATTGTAGATAGATGCTTGTGTTATTGAGTATTATAGAGAAATTGAATACTTAGACTAAAGAGAGATGGACATTGCCAGCAATAACAAAAATTCATGAATGTTGTTAATTTTTAAAACCATATACAGTATTTAGATTAAAAACAGCAATAGTGTTAAACATAACAGAGCATGTATAGTAAAAGTGTGAGAATGAATGTGTAGTGATCTGAAGAAAAGGTGAATTAGAATGGTTTAAAATAACACCGATTTGTATCATTTATATATAAAAGTGTGAAATGAGTACTGATATATTTTTGCTCCAGATGTTATACTGAACCATTAGTTATTTTTCTGAACACTGAAGCAACAGCTGAAAAAAATCTTTATCAAAACTTCATCTTACTCATGCTGGTGGCATTTCACTGTTGTCCTGGGTTCTGGTTATCAGACATGAACGTACTAATTCTTCCTGGGTCTTTTTTTCTTTCTTTTTTCCCCCATTGTTCACTAGCCATTCTTCTTGGCATTTATTTTCACCAACTGACAGCATCCTGTGTAAGTACATGATGTGATACCTTTGCTCTTTAGGGTTTCCTACTGACATGTTCCTGAGAAAATAATTAAAAGAACAGGTTTAAAAAACTTCTTGTTTTTGACTACCCAAGTTTAAAATGCAGCAGATAAATGTTTACCTGTGTAAACACTTTTCAATTAAGCAGACATGCAAAAAAACATTTTACATAAAGGTAAAAAAAGCTGAAACTATTTTACATGGACATGATAATTAATTAATTTTATTTATTTATTCATGGTTTATTTAATAATTTTTAAAATTATATTATGTTTCATAGGTATGTCATTTAATGATGATATCAGAGAATACCTACCCCTAGTGTCACTTAGCCCACCATAAATCCCACATGACCTGAACTGGGATGGAAACGAGGCCAATAAATGGCAAGCCGGTGACCAAAAGCCTAAGCTATGGCAGAGCCATTATTAATGTTGTCAGTAGCTCATATTATACATACAGTACCAGATGATGTCAGCAATGAATTGGCAATGACATGAAAGGAAGTTATTGTAGCCTAATTTGGGGCATTAGCCTGGAACTTCCCAGGAAGGACTTAGAAACTGAATGAAAAGCTAAGGATAGCCAGTCTCTCTGTTGAGATTTGAATCCCTGACCTCCTAAATATGAAGGAAGGGTGCTACCCACTTAACCATGATGTTCAATGATACTTATTTCATGATTCTGGTGACATATTCACAAATTTTATGTACAGAAAAGTCATATCTGATTATAGATATTAATAATACCTAATGATACATGTAAGCTGGTTGATGTGGTAATACTCATAACTTATAATCAGGAGGTACTTGATCTAAATCTTGGCCCAGACACCTGACAGAAATCTTTTATGGTTTCTCCTAGTCCCTTAAGCAAATCCCTGGATGGTACCTAAAATTAGGACATGCCTGGTTCTTCACACATCCTTCACAATTCATTATTCATTAATCACCCCACTATTTGATGCTATATAGTCTGAGAAACTGACAGCATCATAGTGAATTCCTGTTCATTCTATATCATTCATGTCAACAAAGTTACTGAAATAAACTGCAAACAAAAATTAATTGTAGAGAAACAAGTGTCTGGCTTGGTTGTAACAATACCTTGTACCTATAAATGTTAATGAAAATTTCTCAGGATATTTTAAATCAGCTTGAAAATACTCTTAGGATGCACTGATGAGGCCTATTTTCAAGATCTAAAAGGCTATGACAATGGTATATTGGCACAATTACTGACTTTCTGGACATTATCCATCACCTGTTTTTCTTTTTTTGTTTGTAAAAACAATGTTTCAGAGACTGCACTTTGTCTCTGTCGGTAGACAAAAACTAGTCCACAGATAGGGACTACATGTACTGAGTGGGGTTTTTACTTGAGGACAGAGATAGAGTCCAGTCTCTGAAACATTGTTCTTAAATAAAGAAACAGGACAATGGATTATGTTCAAAAATTAAATAACTGTAAGGCTCTTTTCTTGAAAAGATAATTTCTAAGAGGGAACTCAAACTTGAAGGTGAGTATATGTTAAGAATATGCAAAGAACAATATAGAAGTTTCTACCACTAAAAGAAATTTTCAACTTCCTTTTGTCAGCAACTATGACTTCAAAAATGGGTTCGTCAAACATTATACTACAAGTACTGTATCTCATTTACAGTGATAGGATGTTGGAGAAAACTGCATAATGAGGAGCTTCATAACTTGTACTCTTCTCCAAGTATAATTAGAATGATCAAGTCAAGGAGGATGAGGTGGGCAGGTCATGTAGCACGAATGGGGGAGACGAGGAATGTGTATAGGATATTGGTGGGAAAGCCAGAAGGAGAGAGATCACAGGGAAGACCAAGGCATAGGTGGGTGGACAATAGTAGAATGGATCTTAGTGAGATAGGATGAGATGGTATGGATTGGATAGATATGGCTCAGGATAGGGACCAGTGGAGGGCTCTTGTGAACACGGTAATGAACCTTCGGGTTCCATAAAATGCTGGGAAATTCTTGAGTAGCTGCAGAATTGGCGGCTCCTCCAGAAGGGTTCAGCTCCATGAGCAAGTAAGTAAGTAATCTCATTTACAGCAGACAGCCATTTTAATTATAATATATAACTGTGCATCATCTTATGATCCATATGCTTCTGTTACTTCTGGCTACAAGTTTGCAACAGCTTACATTTGGCTAAGCACTGACCATTCATTCCTACATAAGAACAGCATGACAAACTGAGCACTGCCAGTTAAGGCAAGGTCTACTCCAAAGACACACAACATGCAACCTGACAAGACATAACTGACAACTGTGTATTTTAAATTCAGAGTTTAAACTGAAGTGATACAACAGAAAGTATAACACACAGACCAGTTATATGTAACTACTTAAGTTGCATGTTGTGCTGTATAAGGTGCATCTTTGGTGTACACTTTGCTTAAACATCAGTCAAATGATTCATACATATGTATATGCATAGGCTTTCGGTTTTATTTTTGCCTCATAACGAATGGTGCTTCAATGTCAAACAGAGTGTTATGTCTGATTATCAATATGAGTGGATTTGGTTCAATACACTATTAAATCAAATGTGAATTTGTCATAAATATTCTGGGATTACAATTCCAAGCATAACAGGCATGAATAAAACTCATTACTGAAAATAACTTCAATGAATAACGGTCTAATCTAGAATATTCATCATGGCAGTCACTGAGAGGTCTTGCACAATGGCAGCAAAAGTAAAAATATTGCTTAATATTTGACCATTCATTAAATAAAGGAAAACAACTCATAACGAATTCTTCATGTCAACCTCACTGTATCTGAATTACATGAATAATTTACATTGTGTTCTGGGTTATGACCCAGCAATATTTTGAAGGCATCTGCTATCTCCAGCTTCAAATAAACGTGAACAGTGAGGCAGCATGTTTCTATGAAATATTGGCAACCATCTACAGAACTACACGATGTCACAACATGGAAGAATACAATCTAAATTTTTACCACTGCAAAAACCTCACATCTTTGTGTGCATGTAGGAGACAGTTTTTAGTACCTTTACAATTCAGGTCGGTTGCTTTCAGTACTCTTACAGAGTGATTCTTGACTCACATCAGGATTAACTGGTAGTGTTCAGCCATAGTCACGCTATAACTAGCCAGCAGCAAGGAAGTGACTGAAGTATGTAAATACGCTGAAAACCCACTGTAGAATGTAGCAAGTCTTACAATCCTTTCTGAATATTAAAAGAAAAAACTGAAAAACTGTTGATGGAAGTGAGGGCCAAACTGCTTCAAACCAATAACAGTTTATTCTAACACATTTTTAAATCATACAACATGCATTGTACAAGTCCTTCTTGCAGTTGAAGTGGTATAAAGTTGAGTGTTGCTATACTACATCATACAGGGTATGCCATTTGCTAAACAAACAAACGAAAAAACTGATGTGTTTGGCATTCTTGCCATATTTCATGATGTTTCAACTGCAGAGATTATATGACATTTAATGAGATGGAACAACAGCTGCAAATGAGTATATGGTTTCTGCAAGGACATGAACATGGCCTATCTGAGGGTACTACCCCATCCTTTGTCTGGAGAGGCTGAAGAAAATAAAGAAAACTGGAGTTAGGACAGCAAGAAATCTGGCTGAGATTCCAACTGGTTTCTCCCGACTATGAGAGTAAGTAATCATTGCTATATTGACTTATTTGGTGACTATATTGGATATATTACTCTAAACTATGATAACTACCTAACTTACCCATGTCAAATAATAATAATAATAATAATAATTAATGGGGCTCATCATGTGATGAAGTAGTGAATGTGAACACTGTTTAATACATTAAATGTCACGCCTTATGTGTCTGTTGGCACAAGAAACACTTTATATCTACTTCTATGAGCATGTCTGTATAATGGTTCATATATTTTGGTATTTCAAGCACGACTATGTCTTGTTTTTGGCACAAAAAAAATGAAGTACATTAAACAGTACACAATAAACTGTCTTCTTAAAGTGTGCACATGTTACAGATCATTACAGGTTAACCAATCGCAACTTCTCTCTTTAATCTGCCATGGCAAAGTTTACATACCACTTGACCATGGAGACTCTACATGGTGCCGTGTAGTTTTGTAGAAGTTCACCGAAATATTGGAGGAATATATTGGCTCCATCTTCAGAGTTTCCACAGTAAGTCAAGCAAGACCCCAGCAAGAAGCAGGCCACAAATGATTACGCCAGGTATTTCCGCCCTCCATTTTCTTTTGGAGAAAGAATAAAAAAGAAGGAAATGTACCAAATGTGGATACCAAAAATTAAAAGCATTTTGAATATGGCTCTTCAGATTTGAATGCTTTGCACAGACTGGGGCAAATTATCTGGTGTATGCAGGCATATCTTTTGTAATATCTAGAATATCAATACAGGACTTACAGGATCCGTAGATGTGTAAGTTTTCCTTGCTGCATCTGTGCTTCTTATGGAAGTGACTATGAAGAGTGTGATTTTTTTGGGTTGTAATATAGTGCAGTTTGAAGACAGCCTCACACTTTGATGGAGCATGTTGTCTTCATCACCAGTGTCAAAGAGTAAGCAAAACAAAAAGCCAGCAGATGCTGGCGGCAAGTTGAATGGGTCCTTATGACAGAGGCAATATGTTTATCTGAAACACTGGGCCCTCTCTGAGCTACACAGCATTACAACCCAGAAGACTATATTCTTCAACTTTCTACTTGTTCACAGGACATGCAGGAAGGTAAAAAATCCATTTTCAATCTATTCTCCAAAAATGTAATAATCCTTACATTAGTGGAAAATACTGTACATGTTCCTTTTGTGCTGTATCAAGAATGCCAATTGCTCACTGAAACAAAACTGATGAAACCTGTGTTACACTTGAACACTGAAATCATTCAGATGCCTTAAACACGATTGCAGGTTTCAAAAACATCAGCACGAACTGCCACAGAACTCCTGAAATTCAAATCATGTAAAGAAACAGTAGTCAGATGGCACATAACACATAAGCTCACTTCTTGATACTCACCCTCCTTTTCACACATTTCCCATTACTATACAAGCCTCATGAGAAGTGACAGACATGTTGCTGGACCTGCTCATTATGTTTAAGATTTCCCTCATCAACTGCATCATGACCTCAAGAGACAGAGATCACTGGGCTTTAAGTCTTGGCTACAGGGAGGGGTGTTTTAAGCACTTCCCAGCCAATTTCACTAATAATGTTAATTTTTATAGGAGACAGGTCTAAACACAACACATACTGGAATCAGTGATGGCAATATGTCATGAAACTTCCCAGAAATGTGCAAACTGTAGAAACACCCTTGCTGGTGACTAGGGTGTACTTTTTAATCACTGCAGTCATCAAAGAATGTAAAGGCTGGAAACTACCCCAGCAGCGAAAAAGTTCATGGAACAACTCTATTTTGATGTGCATCTGCCTACTGCATTTTAATCTTAAGTAAACAGATACAAATCTCAGATATATGTAACAATTAATATGATAGGAATTTTGTCATTTAATTCCATGCTTATCAGTACAACAGAATGCAGTCCTAAAATTTATTTTATGCCACTTGTTCAGTATCTGCAGTGATCTGCTACTAGTTGGATGACTGGCAAATTGGTGTTCAATTCCTGGTGGGGGTAGATATTTTTCTCTACGCCTTGTTCAGACTAGCTCTGGGGCCCACTCAGCCTCCTATCCAATAGATACCAGGGCATGAAGCTGACCACTCACTAAATTTAGTGCAGGGGCTAAGGATGTATGGAGCTGCACATATATTTTATTGAGACTAATCTAAAATAAACTTCAATATGAAATATGCTTAGTGAAATAAATTACTAGATACTTGAAAATATATTAACAAATGTGGCAGTCAAAGATTAATATCCTCCGTGATGTGATGACATGTGGACTTGTTGATGTCGCAGCATCATATCCTGTAAGATAGTAATCTTTATGGTCATTACCACAAGAATCTCAGATCTCTAATAAGGCAATTCATGATTGGAAATGTTATTACAAGGCCCCTCTGCGAATATAAAGAAAACAAGAGAAGCACATATTTCATTTATACATTATCTTTGTTAGGAGCAGGATGCATATTTAGCAGGGTTTCCATTACCATAGCTTACCATTTCCCAGAGTGGGAGCTGTGCGCCCAAGGGGCAACAGAAAATGCTAACAGTCTAATTATCATATGAAAGGAGTCCATTAAAGACCATAGTAAATTACAGACACAATAAAATTACTTCATAATACAATTAAGGGCTATTAATAACTACATTCCTAAACTGCTACATAACATTTTTAGTAATTTTCTGAATGTTGGTTGGATCTTAAACAATTTAATTTACATTAAGGGAGCTCATACAGAAAGAGTTTTATAATCCACTGCTCCTACCTTACTTATTAGCTTACCTCCCTATGTTAAGGGGGGGGGGGTAATAGACTTTTGAAATCACCATCTGTCTATGCATGTTCCCATTTTAAGTATTCAGTCAATCAACTGATGATTTACCAAAGCTAGGTATGTGAAATTTTGTACCAGGGTAGTTCATAAACATAGTCACACATTATATATTAAATATTGTTTATAAGTCAATACTCATGTACATGGTGACAGTGTGAAAAATTGAGGTTATATCTGATAAATTTTACTCACATTGACAGAATTTGTACAAGTTCTTTCAAAACAGATGACGATGGTAGTTGTGATGGTAGTGATGATGCTAATTGTAATAACCTATAACATTGTTACAACTGCAAACAATAAAAATTTGACTTCAACGGAATGTGACCTTAAACCATCTGCACAAGTCCAGCATACCAGTCCATAACCTAAATGGAATGTCAGTGCTGGATTATAAATTTTATATTATCTAAGCATAACATTAAAAATACAAGATTTGGAGGAACAGAAGTTGGTGCAGTATAAAAGTAGACTTTCTTACTTCTGCTGGACCTCCTTGTTTTTCACATGCTGTGCTGTCATCAACAGGGAAACGGAAATGACCTTGTTTGGCTCATACCGATACTACTTCAATTACCAGATTTCTAACCTCAACCATGCCTTCTCACTGTTCACTTTAGTGTTGTGCATAGAAATTGACCTAAGGCAACCCAAATAAAATGTTCACTATTTCAAATATTCCAATGTACTGTTCTCACCTTATATCACATTATCTTAAACCTGTAGCCATCAACCTTTGGCTGTTCACATCCACTTTTCAATAGTTATTCCAACATTCCCCCAGTCTACATGAATCCCTCCCTATGATGTGTGCCTGGGTCCATAGTCTGGAAAGGGCCCCATTTTCTGATACTTATACAAGTAGAAATATTCTGATCACAGTTTTGCCAGAGTAATTATATAGAAGCATCACATTTAAATAGTTTGTGTTGTAGCAGCTGACTGTTTTCAACTGACCTTGTCATGAAACTGTTATGTTAGTAGTTGTGAAGTGTGGAAGGAATTCATGACTTGGAACTGAATATTAGGAGAAAGGTAATCACATTTGTTGCTAGTACATTAAGTACAAGCATAACAATGACATTCTCTCACATTATGTTCAAGTATCTCATCTATTTGCACGATTTACGGAAATAATCACATACTTGAATAAATACAGAGAAACTTTTAATATTAGAAATTTTAAAAGGACACAATGATATGAATATAAATATGTACATATGATGCTAAGCAGTAATGAATTATTAAATGAAAAACTGATATATTTAGTTTTGGGCACTTTTTGTAATGTGCAAACTATTCATTCAGCACTAGGGTAACTCTTTAAGAGTCTCAATAAATTTATTTTCTCTTGTATCCATCTCTTGTTTTGTGTTCAACCACGATACAGTTCTCCTTACACTCTGTGCAGCCAGTCACACAACACACACAGTTTACCCGCACTCTCGGTCATAACAACTGTTCCAGCAAGTTCGTGTTTCATAAGGAACTAGTCTTGTTCGCACACAATGCCCCAACATCACATCTAACAACCCAATTTCTGTAGATTATGTACAATGGGTTTTGTGGTGGGAAGGGGTCAAGAGGGGGCACATTCACATAATTCTCAATATAAGAGTATGTTGGGGGAAAACTGGAAGATATACATACACATCCAAACTGTTTCTAGAAATGGTGCTTCGCTGTACAGTCCGCAGTAATTATTAGTAATGTACACTTTATATACTTATTAATGTGAAAGAACAACTGGATGATGCGAGAAGATTCTTTGTCCTAAGTCGTGCATGCTACTATCCACAATCCATATTCCATACAATATAAAAATTAATTAAACATTTTTCATGAAACTTAAATAACATCAAGGAATAATAGAATTAGAATATTTCATGGGGCAAGGGGGCATAATTTTAAAATGTCAAGTGGGTGGAATCGTACTGAATCTGATTATGTTTCATTAGCTACTATTTGATTTTCTGAATATTGTTAAGATATGATTTTATACATTTATAGGGACAAAGATTTCAGTTTCCTTTTTTTTTTCTGGATTAAATTTTATGATTAACACAGCTTATAGTTTTAAAAAGTTCAAAAACGTCAACAGTCAGAACACTGGCTGCTCTATTCACGTACCAGTTAGCACTGCCTGTCTTCTGCCTTAGGCGAGTACAAATAATAAATACAAATTATAAAAAAACTACCATCTCAGAACAAAGACTATGTCTGGAATTCTACATAATAGGCCAAATCATCCAAGCTCTGAATAATACAGTGCACATGTTCTACTAGAAAAATTCATAAATATGATTACAAATATATTTGGATGATTTCTGAAAAAGAAACATAAAATGGAAAAACAATTAAAACTGAGGGTTGATCTGGTAATATGAGATCGCAAATACTGCACGTATAATTGGGTCCGGGTACCACATATTGCTCTGGCCATGTCCACATGAAGTCACTCCACATCCAGTTCTTCGTTACAAGAAGAAATGGCAAATAATGTTACAAAATAATATAAAAGCAACCAGACCGTGAGTTGGAGAGTTCACTGGTGAGTATCGACTAGACGATTTCTTCAAGAAGACTAGCAGGAGATAGAAAATAAGCAATTAATCACTTTCGGGGGTTTCATTTACTGTGAAAATGCAGGTCGAAAAGAGGAAAGAGAGCATTTGGTATTTGAAACAGAAGAAAATGTCTTTTTCTGTAATATATGGCTATAATAACTGGTAATGCCAAATGGAAAATTTGGTTTCCTTAATATATTACCAACAATGAATATGCAACTATTCATAGAAAAAATTGCAATCAAGAAAATATTTATTTTATTACAGATGGAAGTTCTGTAAACACCTAAACAAACTTAATATAAGCCATGATAAAATTTCAATGAATCTTGAGAACCTTGACTGCAATCAAGACATATTTAATACTTATATGTAATATATTTCACAACAATACTTCTTATGAAGTAGTTCTCTCTTTGTAACCAATACTGTCATATATATCTTAGGTTTACTGGCATTGATGAATGAATGGTTGCTTGCTTTGTCCTCTATTTACAAAAGTCTTTCACATTTTTGTGTAATTTGCTTTTACAGAAAATAAAATAATTGAATAATATATTCAACATTTAAATGAGAACTGTTTTGTCAAATAAAGTGGGATTTAAAAGGCTAATATTTTACCTTTTAAAATTTTCTGGATGACTTGATCGATTCCTTGCATATCCAAATCACACACAGAATGAGATTTGATCAGCAAAAGTACATTCTCATATTCGTAAGCTCAGTATCACAATTAAAATTTGCTTTGCAAATGGCCATTATCATTATTAATTAATTTTTGGCTAGTAATAATAGTAGAATATGGTAACAGTCTTTTTTCAACTACTCATTAATTTATTAATGAGAGTCACATATGTGCCCTCTTATATACTGGAGAATCAAAAATCCAAAAAATCTTAAATAGATGAAGTAACATCACTCATACTAAGTTTGTTAAGTAATAACAAACAGAAACATTAAAAATCACAATAATTAACACAACTATGATTTATCAACTTCGATGATTGCACGTGTTCAGGGAGACTTCACTGGCCACTCTCTTAATCTCCCTCTCATTTCCAAACAATATTCATTGAGGTTCGTTGTCCTTATCACCAGATGATAAAATATGAAAGTCAGTAAACATAAAGAACATTTGAACATTATTTGATACATGGCTTCTCGTTTGCCAAGCATTTTTAAAATTATTTCTAATGCACTGCTGTTCTAAGAACCTTCCCAACCATGAAAATTTTAAAAATAATTAAAAATCTCCACGGGTGAGAAGTATAAGAAAACTGGAAACATTTTAGAATAACCTTAGCAACCCACAAACAGGTCAGAGCAGCTCAAATGCTCAATCAGTGATGTGGTCCCTCTAGAGCAATATCATTCTGTTCTTCTTATAAACAGCTGTATTCAGTTTTACTCCATGTGGCATGCAGAATCCACAACAACAACAACATGTCAGTCTTGGAACCAAGCGTTTAGTTAAAAGTAAGTGGGAAGCGATTAATATTCCCATCTCTCCTCCCTATCTTCTGCCTTAATTCTCTTGTCAATCACAGCATCTCTTTCTGGCTGTGGCCTTTTCCCACTTGCCCTGTCCCATTCCCCATCTTTCCTTTCCTCCTCAATAGGGGATACCCTCCCTTCATCATCCTCATCCTCGTGTTTAATAAATTTATGTCTCACTTCCACAGACCCTTCCACTTCTGTCACCTCACCATCTACTTCTTCCTCAGCTTCTTCTCCTTCCTCCAATCTTTCTTCATCCTCCTGAGGAGATGAAGTTTCTGACTTAGCACTTCCTCTTTCTTCATCATGTTCAGTTGGTGTAGGCTGGGTCCGTTGTTCCTCAATAGGAACGGCATCTGATGAAGCATCACTGCATCTATCATCATAAGGATCGAGAACTGGTGTTGGCTCTATACGGACCGTTTCTTCATCGGTGACATTCAGCTTCATGCCATAGTCATCTGCAGCTGTTGCTTGCATCACACACACACCATTAATAATCACCTCCTTGTCTCCTCTGCTACCAGCAGGTTTGTCTTTCCCCGTTTCTGTTACCACAGCCTCCTGCCACTCAGGATTAACCCACTGAGGTGCAGCTGGTTTACGTCGTGATGAACGCCCTGTTGTGGGAGGAACCACTGACGATTCTTTTTTCACAGTGGCTGAGGTTGTAGTCTCCCGCAAGCTTGATGCTGAGAGGTTTGAATCTTCACTACCCATGTTGCTCTCTGCATCCTCCTCATCTTCATAGTCTGCAGGCTCCCGCTTCAACCCACCCATGCTCAGGTCAAGCCCACTGAACTGCTCCTTTGGGTCACAGTCTGCTGTGGGAAGCAGGCCTCTACCAATCAGGGCAGCTAGGTTTGCATTTGTAGCAAAGTAGGGTGGATATGGAAGAGGGACGGAACCAAGACCCATGCGCTCTTTCTGTAGCTCTAACAAGCGTTGGTTAAGTAGAAGACGGAACTGAACAGGGTCAAAGGACTGCTGTCCACCATTGGAAGGATCATTACGTGGTGGTGGCAATAGTCCAGCCCCATCTGGTGCCAGACCATGAGGCACCTGTTGTTTCAGTCGCATCCGATGGTTATGGAACCAGTTGGTGATAGTACGTGAAGAAAGTGCTAGTTCGGAACTGAGGAATTCAATTGTGGCTACATTAGGGTAGGAGTCCAAAGCAAATGCTAGGCGAAGTGCCTCCTTCTGCTCCTCAGAGAAGAGGACTCGCTGTTTCTTGGCAGATGGTGGTCCAGGTCCAGGACTTGGGCTGTGATAGAACTCAGAAGTGTCATTGGAAGATGTATCACTGCTGTTGTCAGCACCACCTCCACCACCACCGCCACCACCAAGACCACCACCATGGCCACTGCTGCGGCGGCGCTTGTTTGCCTCCCGCCGCTCATTCTTGAGGGCCTGCAGTCGATCTATATTGTGTGCATCACTCAGCCACAACTGCATACGAATGAATGGTTCACGACCCTTGATGCTCAGCATGTGCCACGGTTTGGGCTTGGATAGCAGTTCACTCACAGAACCCTGTGAGAGACCCAGCACTGCTTCTCCAAAGATCTGGAACCAACACAATCTCTTATTTTTTTCTAGTGCTCGTAAATCCTTAGATTTAGTAACTGTAGCCTTTAAAAAGGAGCTGTAACAATATTATATTTAAGCATCTTCTTACACTCTACACAATGTATGACACAAACTCTGTCCTAAGCGCAACAATTTATTGTAGTTCGTTTGTCTTCTTTTCTTCTACACTACATGTTTCGGCCGTAAATGGCTATCATTAGGTGTATACTCTCACATAGCNTTAATAGGTCCCGATATATCAGAATCCCCTTGCTGATATTTGTCAGATATGTATAAAATCTTTGTTAATTTACATACATCAATTTGATTTTTGAATTTTGGTATTTTTAAAATCTTCAATTTAAATTTAAAATTTAAAATTTGCAGGGATACCTGCTCTAGATCTACAGTGCTGCAGCGGCTACTTCTTCCTTTCAGCACTGTTCAGGTATAACAGATAAACGAACAATTAAGAAAGCTGGTGTTTTTAAATTTTAAACTAAGTGCGGTGTAACAGCTACGTGAGAGTATACACCTGATGGTGGCCAGTTACGGCCGTGTAGAAGAAAAGAAGACAAAAGAACTACAATAAATTGTTGCATTTAGGATGGAGTTTGTCTCATACACTGAGCTGTAAGAAACCTATCTGCATATAGATAAATTGCCTGCATGATTATTAATATTTTCAGTACACTAAATACTACATGATGTTCCTTGACAGCAAGCTTTCAACAATGTATAAATCAAATCCCAAATACTGTGGTGCCACAAATACACGAAAATTAAATAATATTGCAAAATAAAATGTAAAGTAAACATCTGCACTGGAACATAAAAATGAAATGTCAGGCACTGTAATCATTCTCCTTTATCAATCCCATTTGACTTTCATAGAAAACTTTTTTAAATGAAAGAATTATTTTTTTTCCACAAAGGATAAGTAACTGTTTTATGTTTGCTAATGAAAATAATTCAAAACAAGTAATAAAAATACGAGGACATTTGTTGAAAATTATCCGTTGTCTGAAGCTAAGATAATGCCTAAAACATTTGGAGACTGGCACTATATCTATCTTCTGGCAAGAAATAAAGAAGGAGAGGAAACATCTACTTTGGCAAGCACATGTAACAAAGCCAGTCCTTAGTACTGGGCTCAGTAACTCTCCCTATTTTTTTCTTCCCTGAAAACTGAGACAGAGCCAGCATCCAAAATATTGTAGATATTATCTCAATTATAGACAATGGGTGATCTCCAAGGCCATGATGAAAGGCCATTGCAACAAACACTCAGAACTATATTACTAGTAACAGTGCTGCAATGCATCTGGTTCATATTGAGATGCACGGTATGTGTATGACCATGCATTGTAGCATGTTGGCTTGCATGCTTTTGATTTCTGTTATTAACTAAGTTGCACCTGAAGTTGACAACTATTTTTATGCTTATTTTATATTATATGACTAATCTATTGTTTTTGGTTGTTTTAATAAGTGAATTTTGGATGATAATTGTCTCTTTTACATGCATTCTAATTTGGCGCACTTGATTAATGGAATANTGTCGCGATATGCGCCCGATACGCGACAATATTATCTCAATTATAGGCAATGGGTGATCTCCAAGGCCATGATGAAATGCCATTGCAACAAACACTCAGAACTATATTACTAGTAACAGTGCTGCAATGCATCTGGTTCAGATTGAGTTTGGATGCTGCAGTCATACATACTTTCTGTCCAATATTGTTGGCAAGAAGAGCTTCCTTGATCTTTGTTGTGATGATCTGTGTATCCAAGTCCTGTGTTAACGCTGCCATCTCATAAACACTTGGTGTCATGTGTTGCTGCAGTGCACGCAATGCTGCTGACTGCTGTTGATGATGATGATGTGATGGATGAAGGTTTGGATGGGATGACTGTTGGTTCTGTTGGGACTTCTTCAAGTCTGAACTTGATAATGATCCAACAGAATGGTGGCCTGGCGGAGTGACCAACAGGGGAGGAGGGGGTGGTTGGGGTATTGAAGGTGGTTGCTGAGGATGTGGGGGGATGAGCTGTAGAGAAGGAGGCAGAATGGATCCCTGGTTGTCACCTGGGAGATTTTTGTTAGGGACAGCATCAGAGAGTTTTGAAGAAGGCAGCTGCGGTTTGCCGAGGGATGAACATGCTGCAAAAGAGAGGAGAACTGTTTACATCCATCAATCAGGAATAATTACTCATGTCTGCCTCTCCACTCATTATTTGCAGAACAATAGTCCTGTCTTGACCCTGCAAAGCATATTTTGCCTTTGAAGCTATGGCAATCATGCTTTTAGAAAGCAGAGCTGATTTTCTCCATCTTTATGTTACTTATGCTCTCTTAGGTCCAAATTATGTAGAGGGCTGTTACAGATGAATGAAACACTTTTAAAACATAATGTGAGTGAACTAAACAAGATACAAATTAAAAGCAACATTCATGGAGGGAGTAATTAAAATATTTTCTTCAATATGAGCTCCCCCGATAACTCTGACAACACACACGATATTCAAAAACACGATATGCTTTAAGTAAGATATCTTTATCAAAAATTAATTCTGTTTTAGAGTTCTTGAAATCTACTGGCATAGGTGGGATATAAAATTTATCTGTAACATACTCCCAAAAGTAGAAATGTATAGATATAAGATCTGGGAATCTGGGAGGTCATGCCTTTGGACTTCAATGACCAGAATTACTGCCCGAATATTTTATCATTCAGATACCCTGTCAGAACAGTGAGATATTTGATAGTGTGCCAGCTTGTTGAAAAATGATACATTGCACAGATGTTTTCTTTGAACATATCAGATAATGCATATCTCTTTGACATGGCTTGACACTTTTTTATTACAAATTCATGTCCTGAGTTCTACAAAGTGAGTACATTAAACAATTTTGATAAAAGAAAAACTGAACAAAATCTCCCAGAAGTATCATTTGTGCTGATGTTATTAGTATGTTCATGACACAAGCAGTTAATGCACAAGAAATCACTGAAAGTGTCCAACTCTTTGCAATAATTATGCACATAATATGTATACTTCTGTGCAGCCTCTAAAATTTGTAAGATATCTGAAAATCTGTATTTAATTTTCAACTTCAATGGTGCAAATTCCCTCATTCTCTGTGTATATGCACATGCAATAATCATTGTCACTTTCAGTCAATTCAACACAATTGGAACAAAACACTACTCATCTGTTAAAAAAGAAACAGCCCTCAAAAATTCTCTCATTAAGAATATGTCTGTTTTTAGATATCTTGTCTCTCTAAAAGCAATTTTATCACTTTATATTTGACTGAGTTTTACAAAATGCTGAACTGATTCCAGTAATCAGTCTTCCTTGACCTTGCAATAAATGAAAGAAGTCATGAGAAGAAAACATCAGACTACTAACATAATATCTTTCTGGACTGACTAAAGATATGTACATCTTCATTTAAGATTTGTATTAGAACCATAGATATTGAAAAGTAACAAAGTTATTACTGGAAATGATAACCTTTCGGTGAATGTTTTGGGGCTGTTTCTCTCAGAAGTTGGTTAAAAACTCACGAGGTCCACCTGCATAACTACCGGTCCTCATCAACTTTTCAGGTGCAATCTTGTATTGGCTGGCCACTAATTTGTGGACTGCATTGTCATCTTCCAGGAACATCTTCATGCGAATGAAAGGTTCCCTTCCCTTCTGCGTTAGCATGTGCCATGGTTTTGGCCTTGCAAGCAGATCTGACACACTGCCTTGTGATAAACCCAGAACAGATTCACCAAACAACCGCTGGCTTATGGAGTATTGACTTAGCGACTCCTTAACCTGAAGGACATAAAAATATTCAGATTATAGGAGTGTAAAATTTGTAGAGTACAGTCTCATAAACTGAAACTTACAGCTAGATGTACAATAACAATTTTAGGTGTGGATTAGAAGTAAGAAAGAAATTCAAATTCTATATAAATCTTAATGTAAGAATTTAATAACACACTTCACAGAAACTGAACCTCATAGCCATAAAGGTAAATTTCAGTTACTGAAAACATTATGAGATTTGTAACATGATTACATTTGGAGTTGCTTTAGGTTCATCCTGTACATATGCTTATCTTCATTATTCCTAACATGATATCCTCATATAACAGAGCAACAACAGTGGAATGTCAGCAAAAACTATGTGCTGTTACACAGTTCATAAATTTCTAGTTTGAATCTCCTCTCTTTACTCTAAATCACACTTAAACATGGTAAGCAAACGTTTGTAACATGATTAAAGCACCTTTTTCAGATTGCTGTTGAGCAGGGCTGATCTCTGGGGCAGTCGACTACGCCGACCACCCTGGAAACCTGCTGTCTGGGGGTCCCAAATCAGACTCATATAAAAATTCCACTGATAAACCTCAGTAAAAGCAATACATATTACAATACAGTAAGACTAAATATAGCCAGACATGCTTAATTTTATGTCCCATAATGTATAAAGAACATTCTAATTAACTTGCCTGATAACTTCAAAAGTGTTAAAATTACATGAGACTTAATGTTATAACTGAAGGTTGACCATTTACTGCCAAGAAATCAGTCATATCAACAGACCTACAACTACATTAATTACAAACTACTGTTGTCACTAATGAACTCTGAGAGTTGGGATTACTCAGTCAGCACAGCGACAGGCTACAGGCTGGATGGCCAGGGTTTGATTCCTGGCAGGGGCAAGACTTTTCTCTTCTCCACAACTTCCAGACTGGCTCTGGGTTCCACCCAGCCTCCTATCCAATGAGTACCAGGGGCGATATCCCTAAGAAAAAGTGGCCAGGGCATGAAGATGACCATCCATCTCCATCTAGTATTGAGGTCAACTGTGGATGTACATTTCACTCCCCCATATGTCTTCATGGCACAGTGCTTAATAATTAAGCAGCGGAACAAGTTTATCAATTACCTAAAGAACTTTAATAAACACTTAGCTTCAGGTGGAAGAAAATGAATACAAAATGACCTCTGCACATTACCAGACTAGGCCATGTAACAGAAGTGGGATGGTTTTCTGGCTTCCCAATTAAGAACCAAGTGAAACTGTGTATCTGAGTTTGGAGTACATAGTGTTCTTGCAGTTTTTCATCCATCAGTATCAGCAGCACAGGTATTAACAGCATAAAGAATGAGTTATTTTCTTCAAACAACATCTACTGTTTCAAATACAAGTGCAAATTTTAATGATGTCTATATTGGATGTCATGGGCCCCTTTTATGTGTACTGAATCATTTTTGAGAAGTCTCATGAAGTTCTACTCAACATCCATGTAAAATAGCAGTAACAGTGGACCAAAGCAAATGCCCAATAACTTAAAGAGTGAAGAAAGCAGTCTTCTGGGATTTGGCACCGTGTATATGTGGTGTTAACCGACGTTTCGGAGGAACGTATCGCCCCCATCTTCAGGGTTGAAGAAGTATAGGTAAATCTGCAAGCGACAACACCGTGAGACACCACAAGCAGACTGCTTGACCGTGTCTCACGGTGTTGTCGCTTGCAGATTTACCTATACTTCTTCAACCCTGAAGATGGGGGCGATACGTTCCTCCGAAACGTCGGTTAACACCACATATACACGGTGCCAAATCCCAGAAGACTGCTTTCTTCATAGTCACCGCCGTGAAAGCCTCAAATCTTACAACTTAAAGAGTGTTTATTCTATGTACAAAATGTATCCAGTCTGAGTTATGCAAATGGACAGACAGAGATATTTAGCCCATTATGCACTCTCTTTATGCACACCATGGAAAAAATGTATGAAGACCACAGATGCTCAAAAAGAAAATGGGTGGGATATAGCTTTGTTGTATTGTAAGGTGAAATGCCACTCCCTGCTTCATCTGGTAGCAGTTCATTTCATAAGCATTAATCTCTGAAAAGCCAGAAATTCTTGACCTTTTTGGTGCTAGTTCTCAAAGACAAAATGTATGCTGCCATTAAATTTTTGCCTGAAATCTCATTGCAATGTTTAAAATGCAGTGTTAAGGTATGAAATATTCATATTTCTTGCTTTGTCTGGCAGTTTTCATCTCCACTAACACAGTATGTCTCCATGATGAAGTCTTCACACAGCTGGAAATTTATGAAACATTTTACCACAAATCTTAGCATTATAAATGTTAAATAGTATGTAGTGTGCCCAAGGTACTAAAAACATTTTGCTTCTTACACAAGGTATCCTTAATTTCTGTAGCCCTCATAAAAACCAAATTTTCTGTTCATTAAATATTAGCTTTCATAATAGATTCTAAGGACGGATCCTAGACTGGTGGGATGGAATAGACTGGATCAATCTGGCTCAGAATAGGGACTAGTGAAGGGCTAACTGAGGAGTAGACTAACCTTCTTCACAATGTCCTCCGTATTGAGATTGTTGAACATGTCAAACTGCTGCTGTGTGATTGGTGGGAGAACAGCTTTGAGCGGGCGCTGTGATGGGCTGTGATGTGTTGGAGTGCTTGGTTGTGAGATGAGTGAATTAGTAATGGATGCCATACGTTGCAGTGGACTTGCAGCAGCAGCTCCACTAGAGAAATCATCACCTGGTGTCATGGCAGGGGGCAGGATAGAGTTGCTCAGCGGACTACTTGCACTGCTGCCAGTTGTGGGCTGTTGAGATCCACTTCCTGGGCCCACTCCTAATTAGTAAAATGCCACGAATCAGAAATTCTATTTCCTGAACCTTCTGTTATTGATATCCAATAGAGAAATATTAAATGTTCAAGTTAGAAAGGGACAGAGGACATATTCTTATATAGAACAAAAAAGTGGAGACATTACAGGAATTAATATAGAAAAGAAAAAGAGTTGAAAGTTGTACTCTAACTCTGAAACGTGCATTTTCCAAATGCATTCTTCATAAATTTTCATCTCTCTAAAAAAAATTTATATTTATTTATTCAGACACAAATCCACTCTTGTCAGAGTAAATAAATGACAGAGGCACTACACTGAATGAAGGCCCATAGGGCTGTGAGACATTGAGGGTCCCGCATTATCTAGACAATCAGCTAAAAGTTGGCAGTAAGGTTGTCAGCCTTACGCACCAGCTGCGCTTTACTCCCCAGGAAAAGTATTTAATTAATTCCTGGTACTCATTTCAGTTAGAGGCTGAGTTGACCCCAGGGCCATAGTGCGGCTGGAAGGATTAGGTCAACTTAAAAAAAAATGGATGAACAGACATGGCATATTAATTATGTCTTCATTTTATATATTTTATGAAACAAAAACTCAGAAAACACAAACACATGCATGCACAAATGCACACATGCATGTCCGCACAGAGACTTCTTGAACTTATTTAGTTTAACTTCAGAGAGAAACAAATCATTTCTAAGTGTTACATAGATTCGAGTATACTTCCAACATAAGTAAATCATAATGTGCTTAACGTCATTTCTTCTGCAGAACTTTATTTACTTCCCATAGCAAGGAAGGAACAAATAGAACAAACTTTTACAATCCTGTCTTCTTCTGACTGCACTTTAAATAAACTATTTTGAAATTATAAAAAAAGTTATGATAGAAATGGACCTTGTGAGGTAAACACATGATACAGAAGAAAGAAACAGGCATTTACCATAATCAAAGAGAAGAAATGTCTTACTTTACACAGACAGTTCTTATTCCTGTATTAACTACACCTACTTAATTCCAAATATGTGTTAAAAACTTGAGTTAGATGTACTTAAGTGTATTTATCCACATGAGCATTTTTACTCTCTACTTGAATGAAAGATACACTCATGACAACAGCAAAAACCAATGAGGAAAATGTAGAGAATAAATAATAATCAAATTAATAATAAAGGAGCTGGTATATTAACCAAATCCCTAACTAGATCCAAATTTCCATAAGAAGTTGATTCAATTCCTGAAAGGTCAAATAAATGTGACTCACATAATGCCAAAAGTGTGCTTCCAGTATAAGTTATTAGTTACAGAATTATAATCAGTAGTACTTTGTCACAAGGAAAAGGAAAAGGAAATAAGGAAAACACATATAACATTAAAAACATGTACATAAACTCTGACATTGTGACTACTTTGTGATCAAGCTAATAATTTTAAAATTGATCTCCAAATACAAATGGTATGAAAGTTTTGAGAAGTCCTAACTCATATCTAACATATGCCAACATACAGTAAGCATAGTTTACTCCCCAGGAAAATTATTTAATTAATTCCTGGTACTCATTTCTGTTAGAGGCTGAGTGAACCCCAGGGCCATAGTGTGGCTGGAAGGATTAGGTCAATTGAAAAGAATCCAATGACCACATCAGGACTTGAACCTGCGACCTTCCAGCTTGTAGCATAGCCCCTCAACCTACTACGTTACTGTGTGCCCCCTCTAAAACGATAGGCCATCCTCAAACATATTGTTAATTGGCTTAAAAGTAAGTTTGTAAGCAAATTTTCTGGCTGCCTCCCTTGTAAAATATCCTGGCAGTACTGATTTATATTCTCCATGTACTGTTATCACTCAGGTTCCATGATCAGATTCCAGTAGCATCTGTTAATAAAAATGTCTAGAAAATTTTACTGTGCAATTAACCTGTTCAGGCTCATGACCAGAATCTTCCTCTGTTAAATGTAGTGGGAAGAAAATCCCTTCAGCTTCAGGGTTCAGCATTTGTTATTGCATTTTATGTCTAGGCTGACAGCTGACTCTCATAATATGCGGGCACAGGCACAGACTGGTAGGTAGGTAATGTACAGAAAAAGAAGGAAACTCACTTACTACTGATATTGTTGTGTTTGCAAACAGTTGCCTCTTGGGCAAATATTGCTAGTCCTCAGGGATAATCAGAGAAGATTTCAGGTGGACATAAACATATTAACGATTTGTTTTATAAAAGCAACGACAACTCCCCACACTAATACATTCCTTTTATAATGAACAAACACAATTTATTGAAACCAAAATTTCTTAAACATTTTTCAGGAGCTAAACCTGCATTGCAGTAATCACTATGAAACACTATATGCCCCAAGTGAAGGTAAAGTTTCAGTTTATTCAACAAGTGGGAAGGACATTTTATTTCTAGTTCTTGTTTCCATACCTGGTTCAGTCTTTGGCCTGACAAGGGAGAAAGCACTACCGGCATGCCTTAAGACATCAGCAACAGATTCCATCATGCTAGATTCCTTCTTGCTATCAACTCCCTCCATCAACAGTTCACTACCACCCCCATTAGACAGCTTGCCACTGTCCTTGCGGTCCTTGGGTAGTGATAGGTCCTGTGCAACCCCATTGAGTTGGGCGTGTTGATGCTGTTGTTGACTCAGAGCTTGTTGCTGTAGAGCCAGAAGACCTGGAAGACCTGCCAAAAAACCAATATCTCATTTAGAAAAATCTAAAGTTCATGGGCACAGTCAGACCAGTTGATTATACTACCACATATATGTGAGCTCCTAAGTCACACTCGTCTTATCTGTCGCCCTAGATTCCATCAACTACACCAGTAGGATAAGGTTACTTGTTTATGACAGGCTGTAGAAATTACTTTCTCAGTTTCAAAAAACATAATTTATTATGATCTAAAATATACATCTAATTCATCATAAGCACTAATTTCCACATTACAATTTAATTTTAGCAAGATTTTCACAAACTTTTTCTGCATATGATTTCTGTTCCCTTTGTATTGCAGTGACTGTAGATAGTATGAGGGCTATTTGGAAAGTAACCTTCGGTAAGTGATTAACAAAACAAATATTACATACAAAAAATACATACATACTTAAGCTACTTCTCAACATAGTCAGAACTGAGACACTTGTTGTATTGGAGAATAAGTTTTTGTATGACTGAGTCAAATAAGTCTGCACGTGTGAGCTCAGAAACGTTTTGACATCTTCCATCAACTCCTCATTATTGCTCAAGCGCTGTGGCCACAACCAGTTGTTCAGGTAGGTAAACACATGGTAGTTAGTTGCTCGGAGCGAGATCAAAGCTGTAAGGATGGTGGTCAAACAACTCCCAGTTGAAATGCTCCAGCAGTGCTTGAGTGTGAGTAGCTGTACTCATACATGGATGCTCATTGTCATGAAGGAGCACTACACTGGATGTCAGCATTCCACGCCTCTTGCTCTGAATATCACTACACAATTTTGTATTGTTTCACAATACACTTCTGACATGATTGTGGTTCCTTGCAGCATGAATTCCACAATCAGCATTCCTTTCCTGTCCCAGAAAACAGTTTCCATCAGCTTTCTGGCAGGCAGACAGCGTCTGTTGAAGGTTTTTCGGCTTGCCTGGTGAATGTATGTGCATCCACTGCTTTGACTGCTCTTTGGTTTCAACATTTGAAAATGAAACAGAAGTTTCATCACCTGTTACAATGTAATTGAGAAATTCATCGCCATCTTTGCGGTAAAAGATAAAGTTGTCCTTGTGTTTAACTAATTAAGCACTATGCCATGAAGACGTATGGGGGCGTTTTCCTGATCCTAGCACTAGTTGCTATCCCTCTAAAAAAGTAAAAGCCAGAGCAATTCTCTGCATTTTATGTGCACCCGTGAGCATTTCTGGAACTCATCTTGTGCAAAACTTGTGTTAGCCTAGCCTAACTGTGATAATCTCGTAGACGGGAGTGTGTGAAATTTGTGGAAATTCACATGAAAGTTCTGAAACTGTGAAGCGCCATCTTTCACAGATTTTTGAAGAACACTTTGTACAATGTCAGCACTCATTACAGATGGCCGACCACTTCGCTCTTCATCGTGAACATTTGTTCGCCCATCTCTGAACATTCTACACCATTGCCTTACAGTTCTTTCACTCATATTTTGGCCATAAACAGCGCGTAATTCATGATAGATTTCAGCAGTACTCATGTTTTTAGCATGAAGAAAGTGGATAACAGCATGAAGTTCACATCTGGTGGGATATCAATCGCAGGACACATCATAACTAACTCTGTAGAGACAAGAACAAACACTAAGTGATGAGTTATGTGATAGTTTACATGACAATGAGTTATGTGAAACTACTCTGCATTCACAAGCACTCCCCCCACTTCTACATTAGTTACCTAAAATAAACAGAGGTTACTTTTGAATAGCCCTCATACAACTGGCCAACTCTGTTTTATTCATTTCATAATCTTGAATTCATTTCAATGAATAACAAGGTCAACAGTACAAGATATATATATATATATATATCCTAGAGTCAAGCAAGTGTTGGTGGATGTGCATTCTAAATGTTCAGACTCACAGAATAAACCTACATAAAGGAGGGAACAGGTTGTGTGTGCAGATTTACATGTCCTTTACACAACAAATAACACAATAACATAAATGGTTAATATTAATACCATTGTATCTGTTATTAATAGAGAAAACTGATTACTTAATTTTCATGTTGTGATAAGGTAATATTACACAATTCATACTGATTACAGAGAAGACATACATAACTTTAAGTATAACTCATGGAAGAATACTTTCATTTTTCTTAAAAAGCAACAAGTCAATGAATAATATACCACTGTTGAGCAGAAGTATGATGCAGAATAATATTTCATTCTTGTTTTGCTGCATTCTTTATCAGTACAATATGATACACTAAGGTTCATTCAATAGTAAGAAGAAATGCTATTTTTCTGAAAGACTTATACTAAAATAATCCAAGGCAAATACCTAGTGTGAACTGCAGTGAAATTCAAGCAATCAGATTGGTGCCCATGGTCTTGGATCCACACTTTTAAATTTATTTATGACACAGATATTTGTAAGGCACTGTGTAATTATTGCTAGTTTCCCAGCTCACAACAATGCTGAGCTAACCACAATGAACTAAAAAAATACGCCAATTTATGTGTGATCTTCAAAATGTTATGTATACCTCAGTCAGAAACAGAAGGTTGTCTTAAGGAAGGGGGGGAAGGGTATTTATGGTTTTAAACCACTAGAGAATTATATCTAAACATATACAGTCAATTTGCACTACACTCAGTTATAAATTTTGGAACATAGCGATTTCATTGTTTTCAGTCTGAAAGGGGTACAGGTAGAGCTGAACAATAGATGCAGATAAGTGGTCAGTTTCATGCTTCAGATACCCATTCCAAAAAAATCGCTCTTCAGCATGCGCAGGGGCTGGGGTGGCCCCAACATCATTCTGAGTATGATGGCAAGAAAACCTCCGCCCCTGGCGAGAATAGAACCACAGTCCATAGCCACTCACATTACTGACTAAGCTATTCTGACTCTAATGACAAAGACATAGCAGAAACGAAGCCAAAATGATGATACTGTGAAAAATAAAAATGTAAAAAAAAAAAAAACAACAACAGCAGCAGCAGCAGCAAGGCATAAATAGTTCCACCTTATCTTCTTTCTTCTTCTTCTTCTTCTTCTCTGTTTGTTCTTTACTCTTGATGTTCATATAAAGATCATGCATTCTAAATGACTTACCTGGAAGTCCAGCTGGACTGCCAACAGGAGGACAGGAGGATACAGAATTCAGTTTAGCTAACTCCCGGTGGTATGCGTCTAGAGCCATGCGTATTTCTTCTTGGGTTCGATCCATGGGCCCACCGCCACCTCCACCAGCACTGAAGAAATGAGGGAAGAGCAGACTGCATCAGCAAACGTAGGGTGCTGTTCTCGGTACTCAGCAATTAGTGTGAAACAAAGAATAAATGGATTCTGGAAGGAAGTATGGTCGTGTTCCAGCACACAGCAAAACTGACTGTATTTTTCGGACAAAATTTAGATGAAAAAGAAAGATTTGGCGATGTAGTGAGCAAGAGTACCACCAAGAATATGTTGCAAAATATAAACATAATTTCTGTTAACTAAGTTTTCAAACCACCCCCTGAAACAAAGAAAGATTTGGTGATGTAGTGATCAATAACCACACAAGAACGTGTCATGAAATACACACACAACAATTGTTAAATGACTTTTCACACCACCTCCTAAAACAAAATTTCTGATATCTTACCGGATGTACCATCAGATTTGTTTTTCAAAATAAAATTGCTTAGGGCTGAAATAGTAAGGTTCCACATTAGGAGTATATCTCCACAAGAACAATTTATTGAAATAACAAATTCGTTTTTCAAATGTTCTTTCTTATTTGAGATGCATTACAATGCTGACATCAAGCTTATCATAAACAAATACAGAATATTTATCTAGCATCAAGAAATACTCTCCTTTAGCATGATAGTCATATTACAAAGTAATCATTATTTCTGATTCCTATGAACTATTACATGTATTTTCTCATGATCTGTCTTTGTATAAATGATAGACCAAGCCCTCTAGTAGAGGTATTTCCCAAGTATCCCTCTAACCGCATAATTACAAAAATGTAATGTGGTTCTTCCATGAATAAACTTTGCATCTTACAGGAAATTTTATTTAGTCGACTTTGTATACCATTTTAACTGGAAAACTGCGTTGCACAGGCTCTTCCTTGATAAATCAATCCACAGTTTTTTGGGAGTCAAGAACATTCCTTCAAGACTTTAAAAGAGTCACAGCTGTTTTAATAAAATACCACCACTGGACCATATATTGAGCTACTTCAATCCAGTTCACCTGAAATATCCTCATTTTTATCTTCCTGTCATTTAAAATTATGTGTCCAAAGTGCCCCCTTCTCTTGATATTTTTTAATTTATTTGTTTCTGTCATGTGTGCTATAAACTATGCTCACTTAATAAAACTAAGTGTATGAATTCTTTTTGGGAAAACTAACAGTAGTTACACTGCTTAAGAGATTCCGCATTAGCGTACAACACAAAGGTCCGCATTAGCGTATTTAAAACAGCCCACAAATGGCCTACTCTCAGTCATACGAATGCAGCTCGCATTCTCACACCCTCTCTCTTTAATGTCAATTTTAATATTATCTTCCACATATGTCTAGATTTCTCAAACTGACTATTCCCCTCACATTTTTGGAATAAAGTTTTGTATGCATTCATAGTCTTATAAATATATGCCCCACCCACTTCATTATTCTTGATTTTATTATTCTAACAATATTTTGTAAAGAGCACAACTGTGTACTTTTCATTACTGTAAATATGGTCTCGTGATTACTCACTAATTGAAAGGCGTTGGACACCGAATTATGAAGATCTGACCTCATGCGTTTCCTCTAAATTTGTCAGCAAACTTAATAATGAAGATATGAATGTCTGTTATTAGGAGATGACTGGGGTTACCTCGGGAAGTGCTCGCGAGATCCTCTCATGGACTCCTCCATACGGCGACCCATCAGTTTGGCAAGCTCTTCTTGGTAGATTCGCACTACCTTCTCCTGAGGAATGTCATCGTTTTCATATTTCTTTAGTCGACGGTTTTGAGAGCCATCCTTGCCAAGCGGTGACGGACACTGCAAGAATATATTAGTGGTAGAGGCACTAAACAACTATGAACACTTAAATTGTCAGATAAAGAACTAACTCTATGGGAGCAGAATATTTCTTGAGAAGTTGCTCAGTTGGCCAAGAAATTCCCCGCCTTTTATAAGACCATAAATTCCATTGCAGTATTCATAACAGCCTGCCACTAGAATCTATCCTGTGGAAGCTGAACCCAGTACGCAACGTCACACCTTATTATGTCTTCAAGACTAATTTTCATACTTTCCTCTTATCTACGCCTACGTCTCCCAAGTGGTCTCTTACATATAAGTTTTCCAACAAAAGTTTATAAGCATGGCCTAAATTGCTATTAAAATATATCCTGAAATTTTTCATTTGATTTCGCTGACGTAAAGCAAAGACAGACACGCTTTTGTACGAAGAGGATTCAAATGTTCTTTTTCTGTTACCATAAATATTCATGCTACATAAGCAATAATGTATTATCGAACGCAATTGGTGATATTGTGTATTCAACTGTAGATGTAAATCAGTGAGAAATCTACTCAGACATTACGTAAGCGCTCCTTAAAATAATTTTTTGAACATAAGGATCAATCAACTCCATGGTGTGAAACTGCTCAGCTAGTCAAGAATTGCAATCTACATTGCCGTGTCTATAAAACTCCGCCAATGAGCCAGATGAATTCAGTTCACACTAACTCGGCCGAGTTATAACATGCATTTTAATATTATCTTCCAATCTATATTAGGTCTTTCAAGTGATCTATTCCCTACAACTCTCTGCCCCGCCCACCAAATTTAATATTTACTAT